ATGAATAAGGTGACCAAGTTTGATAAAGTTTGGAATAGAATTAGTAAAGTTATTATGCACACAATAACAATTATTAACGACGACAACAACAATGACGACGACAACGCCGGACAAAATTTTTCCCTTAATATACCTTTCCCTTCCATCTTTGATGGTACAGGCAAGGTAACAAAATTAAACCACTGCAATATTATTAGACACTCAGTGGTCAATCCCAGTTTACAGACTGTATCCCAACAGGGTCTAAAACAAAATATTAATATTTGGTAAATATCCCTAGGACAAAAGTTTGTAGCTAAGCTCTGCGCTTTGGGCTACTGTTACATTTAATTTTGAGCATTATTAATATTAAATGATTGTGTCAAGTGAGAGTTGGGCAAGAAATGACACAGACAGACAGTGATATAACTTCAGTTCAGGTAGTTTTCAGAACTCAATAGAAATAAAACTATGGTCAACTAGGAATCCCTTTAAGTACTAAATTTCAAGTATTTTTTGACTAACCCTGAAAAGTGGCAGTGGAAACTGTACTTTTTTTAAGAGGTGATTCAATCGTTGGCTTTTCAGACGAAAATGCTATTTACAACTTATTGTTATTTGGAAACTGTATATTCACTGCCTGTCCTTCAGAGTAGAGTCCTTGTAACATACATCAATCACCGATCTAACTTGAATGCAAAGCGACAGCAAGCGGCAAATTACCAACTACCCATTCAACCACATTTAATTCCAAGTTAGAAAACAATTTTTGTTCTCATTCATGCAATATCAGACCTTACTTTCTCAGGCGAATGACCACTCACTTCGTTCTAAATCAAGTCCTGGAGGATCTAAATATCATTCTCCCAATCCACACTAGATTTCAATAGCACAGCTACCTAAATTACTCTCAATACTGAACAGCCATTTTTAGCTTCCACAACAGTTTCCAAAGGAACCGTACAGAGTATGATCATCAAACCAGGATTCACACAGGTAGCATTTCATATAACACGTATCTGTGGCAGAAAGGTTTTCAAGAGCAAGGGTATATGTAATATAAAACATGAACTCTGTTGACCCCAATGTTAATCAGGGTTTTAAATGTAGGATGTTGTTTTAAACATTGAAAAGATCATCTGGTGTCAAATTACAAAGTATGGTGTAGGTAATTATCCACTGGTAATCTAGGGTAGGATAGTACATTGTTCTCAGTACAAAGAACACAGTATGGCTACTTATTATAACTATCAAGGTAAAAAAGAAAAGGCAATCCTACTGACTTTAATCCTTCTCGAATCTTTTGTTTAATTCAATGTATACATCTGTTTTTCATCCAGGAGAACAGTTTAAACATCACTGCAGTCAGAAATCATTTGAACTATTATTTCCAATATCAAAACAGAGAAAACAATAAAAAAAACAAAAATCTTATGTTACTGATATCTGAAGTTTTAGTAAAAAAAACATGCCAAAACTGAAAGCCATTTGTGGTAGGTCTGCTAAATTCTAAGTTCAGTGTGTGAAAGGTTGTTTTATAGCAGGCCTGTCAAAACAAAATGTTGCCCTTTTTCACCCCGTTTCCCAGTAAAATCTTCAAACTGATGTTCTGGATAAACAATGTTATGTACTAAAGTGTGTCAATGACAGTTATAATTTTGGAGATGTGGAGGAAATTATCCAGAGTTGATACATTTTACCTAGTCAGTACTTTGTGTATATTGTTAGGATGTTAACAGTATAAACATTTCAATAGTCATGTTTTGAAGGTTCTTTAGAAGCTATGCTAGACTGCCTGCTGATAGTGTTGGTTTCAGAATTGTGTTATTCTTTAAGAGGACTGGCACAGGAAGTAAAAAACAAAAGACTTTTGTGACAGCATGGGGAGGCGGGAGTTCATTTAAAAAAACATAACTCTTGTTTGTGATTGGTCCTGGTGTCATTTGTTGCAAATGCTGTGTACACATAACACAGCTGATGCTTCAAGATACTGTTTTGAGAGTGTCAGAGTCAAATATTGGTTATATTACAATTGTAGTATTGTTGCGAGTCACAGCCACACTTTGCCCTACCATGTTGTGAACACCATGTGTAAAATGCATTGTTTGTTTGCCCTTGACAGTTACAAAGTCAACTTAAGTAGCCAATCACAATATTGAATAAAAAAGTTTTCTACATTTTTTTAATAAACATTTTTGACCAAGACCTAGAGGTAAGATACAATTGCACTTATTCGGTTAAAAATTTACAATTTTTTTTTTAGAAAAACTATATTAAAATTCTGAATAAAATATTCTACTCAACTCTGAAAACAAAATAAATCAGGAAATGTTTGGTTGATGATATACCTTGAACATTACAAACTAAAAACTGTCATTTGTTTACCTGTTGCACATGTGTTTGATACGCTGACACAACGATTAATCCAATAGTTCGTGACACTCAATAGTTCAGGAATCCGTATACTTAAAATCAAACTGTTTTTAAAATATTAATTAATAATATCGATACTATTATTTCAACACATACCAAATGTGTCCCCATAATGTGCTGTAACCAACAACAATACACAAGTTTCGAGTTCTGCAGTTACCTTAGAAACTTGAACACTCTAGTGTGAAAACGTTCCATAAGTTTCACTTTGTGTGTTTGTGTGTTGATTTCACTCCATAAATGTTTGATAGCTCATCAGAATGCAGGTAACTATGTAAAAAATTGTGCAAGCTAGAAATCTAACCCCCCATTCTTGCCCGGATGGCACTCTTCTATTGAGATAATGGGTACAACATAAACTAAGCAGTTTTAAGAATACGGAATAGTGCACTTACTTTAGTTGAGTGTTCACCAGATATTGCCATGATAATGGGGCATGATTATAAATTAACATTTTTGAAACACTTCACAAATATGCCAGAACACAAGTCATTTAAATGATTTACAATTAAAATCTTAATATAAATAAAGTTGATGTACACATAACTTTCTTCAGCTTCTGATAACGACAATCTCAACCTGCCTGCGTCACTTTACTGTGGCTTTTCTGAGATTTATTGGAATCGCAAAGATGTTTATTGCCTGAACAAAGGCCGCGTTGAGTTATTTCGATGTCATAGCATTTATATAGTCAACTATTTTTGCATTTGTTTACTTATTTGTTTGAATTAAACATCATGAACGATTAACTACATTAAATTATGTTAAGGGACATCATTTGCAAACAAAGACATTTAAAAAGCGAATGTGGATAACTTTTTGGAAAATGCATCTTTAATAATTTAACTGAAAATTAAAGTAACTTTGTCAATAAATGTAGCAGGAAATAATGAAAACCCACATGTGTCACGCGTGCACCCTGGATTTATACAGGTAATTTCAAAGCATAATAAAGAGGGTATTTTCATTAATTCAATGCAAGAATAGAGTTATCTCTGTTGTCAAAACAAATTTTTGTATTTGACAATAATTTGTATCCCAATAATTTTAATAAGATATATTATCAAACAAAATTATTTAAACATACTAAAACCAAGAATATAAATTGCTTTTTACAATTTTACCTTTCTTGGTTTTTATAGCCAATAAACTTCATAAGCAGTAATGACTCAAAAAATACAATATATATTTTGACAGTACAGTTCCGCATGGTCAAAATCAGGACTACAGCAGTACCTGCATACAGTGATTTTGTTGAGAAAGTTAGTATAGTAAATATGTGATTATCACTAAAACATACACACCACACCTATTAAAGCATGCTATGTATGAATCATGTTTCCGTTCAAGGTCATGGACGCTGAGCTCTCTTGTAGTATTATTGCAATAATAGTACAATCACCCTGTAACAAAAATGTCAGAATTCACAGTGAAATGAAACATATCAACGAAGTGAATAGCAAAACTTACGGTTCTGACTCTAAAGATTGTAACTTCGCCACATAGTTGGATGGGATGTAGCCTTCCTTGCGACCTATGACAGACCGAGCATGCCACCAATCGCCGATGCTATCGTTCAAAATTTCCAAGTGATCCCCTTTTGCAAAACTCAAGTCTTCGGAAGTACGAGCTTCATAGTCAAATAACGCTACAAACAATTTTAACGGTGAAACAGGGGGCATAATCTGCTGAGGTGGCGGTGCGGGCAGTTGAGACTGAACCGTCGGCACCTCGCCATTTCTATGATCCGAATCATGCACTGCTGTGCCCGCTGTCGGCGCGTCCTCCCGTCCAAAACAGCCCCCCATTTTAACGAAGTTGGTCCAAGTCAGGAAAACATCGGCGTTTATACACACATAAACAAATTTCGTTGAAATAACTCTCAACCGTTCAGCGAACACGATATCTTCGATCAACCATCAGGAAGTACTGGGCACCTCAATATTTTTCTTCAGATTACCGAGCTCCTACCTCTTCACACAGTAAACAATTTTAAATGCTTTCCAAAAATATAATCCTACAATCGAACTTAACTGACAGTACTGGAGATTTTCCTTTGTGAAATTAAAGTAAGCTTATTTCAGATTTAAAGCTAAATTGAGGAACACCGACGAGAGAGTAATTTACCGCTAAAAGCAACACTAGTAATCTGACACAGAGTATTGACATCTACATACGCCCAAGTGAAACGTCAGTCGGGCGTGTGCTGTAAAGGGTGATAACGATAATACTGATTGGCTGACGACCGAGAGATCGAAATAGTGAAAATAAATAAACGAATCAGGGAGCCGGTTATAAACGAGCAAAAGTAATGTCTTCGGGATACGTCGGAAATTCTCGGAACAACATAGCGACTTCCGTTGTGGGAAAAAGTGTACTGATAAAAACGTGTAGATGAATCAGACGCCCTTGTTTTTCAGACGTCACCCACACAAGATGATTGGCAGTTGTTGGTGCGTAAACATATCATCGATATGTATTGTTATCAATGAGTCTTAACGCCAACCCAACTTAAAGAAAAGTTCACACTCTGACCTTTATTGTCGGGTGATTTTTCGGGTTAACATGGGGGCAAATAAATCTGCGTGTGCTATTCTTACCGCTTGTGGCGCTGCTCAATTTGTGAATCGCATACTGTAAAATACTTTATTTTTGCTTGGAATTAATTTTCGCTGAAGGAATGATTCAGTGAAAATAAAATCCAGTGAATATACCGTTTTTCCTATATTTAACATTCAACTTATCACAAATCAGTGAAAATAAATTCAATACAAAACACCCAAAAAGTCTTTTCAGTGAAAATTAATTCCAGCTAAAATAAAGTATTTGACAGTATCCAGTTATTATCCATTATAAATACTCATGTTTCTCATATTGGTAATACACAATATTTTCGTCCTGATTGGCACAGTTTAGGTTTTGTTTTTACAGACAATTTTTTAAAAA